GTTCAACCATTTCAAGAAATAGCATATGACCAAATGCCAATGATACTGAAGGAAGAAGTCCAAGGTGCACTGAAGGCATTGGCAAAGAACAGGGCTCCGGGAACTGATGGAATACAAACTGAAATCTTTCAACACACTGATGCAGCACTGGAGGCACTCACTCATGTATACCAAGACATTTGGAAGACAGCTACCTGGCCAACTGATTGGAAGAGATCCATAGTTGTGCCCATTCCAAAAAGAGGTGACCCAACAGACTGTGGAAATGATGGACAATATCATGGATATCACATGCAAGTAAACTTTTGCTGAAAATAATTCAAAAACGGCTGCAACAGTACACTAACAGGGAGCTTCCAGAAGTTCAAGACGGATTCAGACGAGGACGGGGAATGAGGACTATCACTGCTGACATCAGATGGGTCTTGACTGAAAGCAGCGAATACCATAAAGATTCTTACCTGTGCTTTATTGACTATGCAAAGCCTTTCGACTGTGGATCGTGACAAGCTATGGACAACATTGCAGAGAATGAGTATTCCAGAACACGTCATTGTGCTCATGAGGAACCTGGACATAGACCAAGAAGCATTCTTTCAAACAGAACAAGGGGACATTGAATGGTTTAAAATCAGAAAAGGTGTGCACCAGGGTTGTATTATTTTATCATATTTATTCAATCTGTGTGCTGAGCACATAATCCGAGAAGTTGGATTATATGAAGAAGGTGGCATTAGGATTGGAGGAAGACTCACTAACACCCTGAGATATGCAGATGATATAACCTTGCTTGCTGAAAGCAAAGAGGACTTAAAATACTTACAGATAAAGATCAAAGACCACAGTCTTCAGTATGGATTTCACCTCAATATACAGAAAGTAAAAGCCTACCACTGGACCAATAAATAGCATCATGATAAATGGAGAAAAGATTGAAATTGTCAAAGATTTCATATTGCTTGAGTTCACTATCAACACTCATGGAAGCAGCAGTTAAGAAATCAAATACCATGTTGCATTAGGCAAACCTGCTGCCCAAGACCTTTATTAAGTGTTCAAGAGCAAAGATTTCAATTTGAGGACTAAGGTGCACCTGATGCAAGCCATGGTATTTTCTAGAGCTTCATATAATCTGAAAGTTGGACAATGAATCAGGAAGACTGTGGAGAATTGATGCATTTGAGTGATGGTGATGGAGAAGACTATTAAAAGTACCACAGACTGCCAGAAGAACAAACAAATCTGTGTTGGAAGAGGTACAGCCAGAACGTTCCTTAGAAGCCAGGATGACCAGACTTCGTCTCTCACACTTCAGAGATATTCTTAGGAGGGATCAATCCCTAGAGAAGGACATCGTGTTTGGTCAAGTGGTCAGCAAAAAAGAGGGAGACCCCCCCAAAAGATGAAATGGCACAGTGGCAGCAGCAATGGGCTCAAGTTGAACAATGTTTGTGGGGACGGTGCAGGACTGGGCAGTGTTTCTGTAGTGCACAAAGTCACTATGTGTCAGAACCAACTTAATGACCCCTAACAACAACAATGGGGAGGTGCATTAAAATCCTATAATCTGGTCAGTCCATTTTCCCACGAATATTTTGAAGCCTCATGAATATGGCATTGTAGGATCGGCACTGGGCTGCTAACCACAAGGTCAGAGTTTCAAACCCACCAGCTGCTCCTCGGAAACCCTATACAATGTCACTATGACTCCACTATGGTGTATAACATAATCCTGAAGGCAGACATTTTTAACTGGTGAAGCTGAAACTACTGTCTGGTTTTAAGAAGCCTTCCAGTTTATATTTTTTTGGCTTAAGGTTTAACTATGACCTCAGAGTATGTGGTCTACATTTTTTATGCCAGTAAATAAAGTAAGAAGCATCTAACACTGGCCGAGTCCCCTTGTCCCTCTGAACTTCAGTTTCCTCATCTGCAAAAGCTCTGTCACAGGTGGCTCTGCAGAGCACACCCATAAAGCATGAGGTGGTCCTAGACCAAGCACGGATGCTCCCCCGGGCTTGCTGGGCGGGCTGGCAGCCATAGTGCAATAAACCATTTAGCACATTGGTACCCAAAGCATGTTATAAACATCTCAAGATGACTTTGGCCAAGTGCCCAGAACACAGTTGGGGCTCAGGAAGCCTCTAGCACCCAAAGGCCATGAGCAGGTCCCTCAAGATGTCCAAGCTGGTACTGTGAGTCATAATCACACCCCAGGCTGAAGCGGGTCATATTTTAAGCCCCAGCAGTGTTTGCTGAGAAATTGGGCACTCTGGATTTAATTCTGTAGGTAATTTGAACGATGTGATCTCATTTCAAATGTCCCTGCTCATAGGAGTACGAAAGCAGCATAATTTTTAATTAGTAATTAGTGAACAGTAAATAATGGACAGCAGTAAGTGGACACTGCTGGTAATTAAAAATCCTTGGTTGATAAAAATCAATTTGGCCCATGCACTTAACTCCGTTCATCAGGCCCGGCGAAAAGTTGCACAACCCAGCTCACCATACCATCTGCTTAATACTGAGGCTTCTTCAGTGAAGACGTTCCCATAGTGGGGTCAGGGAAAGGGAAGGGGAGAAAGAAAACAAGATCAAAAGCAACCTCAAAGGCTCCAGTGGAGAAAATTTCATGGAATAATTTCTAATTGCTTCATTTTATTTTTGTAACCTTGGGGTGGAGGCGACGTGGATGGTCAGGAAAGCATGACACGTTCAGCTCCGATGTTTCTCGGAGTTCTGTGTCTGTGTGTGCATGTTCGCAATACAGCAAGCTTCAACCACTTCAGGCAGTCTTCTGGTTTAATTGCATCCTAATTTCTCAGAAAAACATGACAAACTAAAATGTACTTAACAAATCAGAATGTCTGAGGATGCATGCATGATAAGAGAGAGCTTGGCGGGCTGTCTCTTAGTGTTTTCAGGAAGAGTCACGGGAGAAGGCTTGTTCTCTCAGGAACACGAGTCTCCTCAAGAAGCAGAGATTGATGAAAACAATGCCAGCATCAGTTTCAGGGCTGCTCATCCAGGGAAGTTGGAGTTTCATCCTGGGCAGATGATCTAAGTCCTAGCAGCCTTCTCTCATTTTGCCTCCATGCCAGTCCCCAATTCTACACTTGCAGGCAGATACAAAACGGGCTGCGAACCTCAGGGACAGCAGTTCGAAACTACCAGCTGTTCCACGGGAGAAAGATGAGGCTTTCTGCTCCCGTAAAAATTAACAGCCTCGGAAATCCTGTACAGAGTCGCTATGAGTCAGAACAGACTCCATGGCACATAACAACAACAACATTGTAAATACGGACAATGTCTGAATTAACCTTAGGAATTGCACCAAGGCACCCAGTGACTTCCAACAAGGTCTAATGTGTGTGAGATTTCAGTGCTGACATCCCAGCTCAGGCCTCCTGGGACAGGGGCAGGTGGGGAGCTGTGCCAGGACCTTAGCCCAACTTTGAAGCCCACCTACCTGTCTACTACAATATCCTGCTCAGGTCCCTTTAAAATGAGGTATGCCCCCAATCAACACAGGTACACCACAAGGTTGTCTTGGGCATTTGTTCACTTGGCACAGTGGCCCAGGGAGCCCATGGAGGAAACCCAGCCATGGTGGTGGGTTTGTTGTTTGAATTTCTCCACTTTGGTGACTGAAACCAATTAATCAGTTGTAGATACACCAGGAATATATCAAGGACTCAGTACTAAACCAGAAGTTTACTCATCTGTCCGTCCGTCCATCCATCCATCCATCCATCCATCCTCCCATCCACCCATCCACCCATCTATCCAACTACCAATCCATCCACCCATCCACCCATCTATCCAACCATCACACATCCATCCATCCATCCATCCATCCATCCATCCATCCATCCATCCATCCACTCAACCATCCACCCATCCATCCATCCATCTATCCATCCATCCATCCATCCATCCATCCATCCATCCACCCCCCCCACACACACATACATACATACATACATACATACATACATACATACATACATCCAATCATCCACTCACCCAACCAACCATCTGGGCAGTCACCCACCACCCACCCATCCATTCCATCCACCCATCTAATCATGCACCCACCCCATCTATCCACCCATCCACCTACCCCTCCATCCATCTACCCATCCACCCACCCAGCCAGCTAGTCATCCACCACACCCTCACCCATCCACCCACCCATTCCTTAATCCAACAGATGCCTGGTGTGTGCCCCGCTGTCTTCCAAATTTCCCAATCAGCCCTTTCCCCATGACTTGGGATGAGACACAGTACTACACAAGGTGAAGCTATCAGAAGTCAGGCTGCAGAATGCTGTCCAGGGCTCCAGTTCTGACTGTGTCATGTTCAGACAGCACACACTCCTGTGACCTCTGAGTTCATCCCCTGTGCCTGCTTCTCTGTCAGGAGGAGGAAGACACGCATGTCTGTTCCCTGGGACTGGTTCAAGGATTGCATGAGATAAAGTATATATGCAAGGGGACGCTACTCAGCAGAAGTGGCTGCCTTCTCCCTTGTCAGTGATGCTTCTGTTTTTTCTGCTGATCACTGGGGACCCTAAGAGTCTCAGATGCAACCCCCAGCCTCCAGGGAAGCGGGCCACCTGTCCTGGGTCTTGGTGGAAAGACATGTAAAGGGAAGAAGAAGAAGACTTGATTCATTCACTTATGTGCTCAACCAGCCAACACTTTTAGGACCCAGGTTGAAGCAGGTACTATGTCGCTGAGGTGCTGACCTCCTGGCCCACTTCAGCACAGGCCCCGGGTCTGGACTCCACGAGCCAGCCCACTGCCGTAATACCTGGATACCTCAAGCACAGCCTCCCCAGCATCTGCCCTGTGCATTACCTCTAGATCATGCCTCTGGGGGTCGCTGCTCTTCTGTAGCTGAAGATCTTGGTGTGCGCACCCCCAAGCAGATCCTAGAAGAGGCTGTATATGTCCTATAACCCAGCTGGCTCAGCATATCTGGAGTCAGTCGTGAGGATGCAGATCCCCAAGGACTGCCCTGAATTCAAGTCCACCTCACCCCACCTTCCTCCTGGAGCTTCAGGCATGGAGACAGACCCCCGAGAAGGGTCGTGGTCTGCCTCTTCCGGCCTGGGCATCACCCTGGGTGCCCGCCAGTCATGCCCTTGTCCACTCACCCTGCATTACTGATTGCCTCCTCATGCTGGGGCTGCTCTGGGTGCCCTGGACACACAGGTGGACAGCACAGGCCACCTCAGGGTGGACAGTAGGTTCAGACCAAAGTAAGGCCTTCTCCAGGTGGGAAGGGCTCTGCTCTGGGAAAAGTCCACACCCCCAGACCCTCAAGGCTGAGTGTAAATGGCATTTTCCTGGGAGTGCCAGCCTAGCAGTCTGGTTCTCAGGGGGCTAATTCCCAGAGACTTTCCATACAGGAAATCTGGGCCTGTCTCTCCTAGAAGCCCTGGAGATCAGGAGTGTCGCCCACAGGGAGCTGGGCCAGGAATGTGACGGGCTCCAAGGACAGGCGTTGTTCACCTAGCTGGAATTGGGGGGCAGTCTGAAAGTGGGCAGACCCCTGTGGTCCAGGCAGGCTTGGGAAGGTGGGCAGGGCAGGCAGGAATCCCCAGGATGCAGCAGGATGGCTAACCCAGCTCGAACTGGTTTGCAGCTCATGGAGCAGAGGCGGAAGCAGGGAGTGGCCACCAGAGCTTGGAGCCCCACTGTCAACAGTCCCTGCCCAACGGAACGCCCATCGCCACACTGCTGCCCCCACGCCTCAATGGGCCCTGGATCTCCACTGGGTAAGACCCCAAGACCACCCTGACCACAAGCTGCTGGGCCTGGAGACGTCACCCTCTCTGAGCCTGTGTCCACACCTGTGAAATGCGTCAGTTCATCCAGTTGTTCATGGGGCTTTGTTTGCTTGCCCTGTGCAGAGTGCTCCCTGGAAGGCAGGGATTGAGCCGGTGAGTATGCCACTCACCTATAGAGCACCTATTGTACAAACACTTACTGAGCACCAACTAGCAAAACACTAAACACCTACTATACAAACACTAAACACCTACAATACAAACACTAAACATCTACTATACAAACACTAACTGAACACCTACTATACAAACACTTACTGAGCATCTACTATACAAACACTGAGCACCTACTATACAAACACTAACTGAGCATCTACTATACAAACACTAACTGAGCACCTACTATACAAACACTAACTGAGTATCTACTATACAAACACTTACTGAGCATCTACTATACAAACACTTACTGAGTACCTACTGTACAAACACTTACTGAGCATACACTATACAAACACTTACCTGACCTACTATACAAATCCTTACTATACAAACACTGAGCATCTACTATACAAACACTAACTGAGCACCTATTATACAAACACTTACTGAGTACCTACTATACAAACACTTATCAAGCACCGAGTATGAATCAGATGATCGGCACAAGGGTCCAGAAACTAGTAATATAAACTTGAGCTGGTGCTAAACTTTGCAATAAGGCTGTGATAGCAGGTTATTGGGGAGGTTCTTTACAGTGAGGGGTCCAGGAAGACTTCTTGGGGACAGTGGCATTCAAATGAGAGCTGAAAGAAGAGGAATCAGCCATCCTGGGAAGCGGTGGGCAGAGGAGCAGCTGGTGCCAAGGCCCTGAGGCAGAACTTAGACTGCTGTGTAAATCTTCTATTCTCACAGGCGCTAGAAACCACGGAGTGCAGTCTCTGCCCTCATTTTCGGGGCTAGCAGAGACCTCTCTGCTGGACCTCCTAACATAGCTTTTTCTCCACCTGCTTCCCAGCCCCCTCTGCTGGCCCTTGGGTCAGGGACGATACCCTCCACACCAGGTCCTCCTCTTACCAGGGAACCGAGGGAGAAGAGGCCCACCAAACATTTGCTTGTACTTGGGGGAGGAGGGGACGTCGCAAAGCTGCAGGACTGGCTCAGTTCTGCATGAAGCCCCAGCCCCCACTCCACAGGCCACTGGTAGGGGTCGCTCAGAGACAGAAATGAGGTGCGGGAATGACCATTAGTTGCAGGCTACCTTGTTGGTCCGCTCCTGGCCCAAAACAGCAGTATTCTGGGCAGTTCTTAGAAAGTTCTTACTGATCTATGGATGAGCTCTGCTGCTTCCCAGAAAGGGTACAGAGAAGGACCCCAAGGCTGGGAACACCAACAGTCCACCTCAGACAAAGCCCCCTCCAGGAGTGTCTGAGAAATGGATGGTGGTGTGCGGGACGCCCCTCCCAACATCTAATGGTTACCTGTGCTGATATCTGAAGTCTCTGGCAGTACAAATGATGAACATGCTCAGTTGCTAACCAAAAGGTCACCCAGAAGGACCTAAGAAGAAAGACCTGGCAATCTACTTCTGAAAAATCAGCCACTGAAAACTCTGGAGCCCAGTTCTGCCCTGACACCCACGGGGTCGCCATGAGTTGGCACTGACTTGACGCAACTAATTTCGATCCTGTCATTTTCTTAATATTTTTCTTTAAATCAGTATGCTTTTCTTTACATATTTACTTATGTGTATTGCTTTTTGAGATAGAATCAGCCTGCTGTAAACTACACATGCTCATCATGTGACACTAATTCTTTTTAAAAGAAGCGTAGAGTCACCTGGAAATGGACAGCAGTCCGTCTAACCCTAGAGAGGAAGCAACTAGAAAGCAAGAAACCGGCATTTGGTCTCACCAGATCCATCACCTGCCAAGGCTCCCAGTCTGTTCTCACTGGGAAGGGAGGTTCGAGGCGTTAAGGACACATTAGCTCCAAATAGAGACCTTCTCTTGAACAGAATCAGTCCAATTGAAAGAGAACGGACAGGGATTTTTTTTTTCCCCTCTGGATGACAACCAGGACTTCAAACCCGTTAGCTCTGATTCGACTCCTTGCTGATCATTTGCATTTCCCTAGATATGGAATGAGAATCTACATTTTAGAAGACCCCCAAGTTATTCTTAAGAATCAGGTGTTGAAATGCTGTTGAAATGTTGAAATGATTTTGATTCAGTCTGTCTGCGGGGCAGGGTGAGTCAATTCTCAGCAAGGGGTGAACAGAGTGAACCAGTTCAAAGTCCTCGTCGTAACATGTCCTCGGCTGCAGCAGCCTTGTATAAAAAATATCAAGATAATAACAGCACAGGTATGACCTAGTTAGCGTAATACAACCTACTCACTCTTTCCATTCTCTCAGTCTGCAATGGGAAGGAAGTCTCAGAGGCTGCCCTGGGTGTGGACTGTTGATGCAGCCCTACCTCTAACTCCCCACCCCTGTACTTGTTTGCATTACCAGCAGACAAGGGTCTGTGGGCCAAGCTTGGCCCACCCCTTGTTGTTGCAAATAAAGTTTTATTGGAACCATAACACACTCATTCATTTGCATACTGCCCACAACTGCTCTAGTGCTACAAAGAGTTGGGTAGTTGCAACACAGGACATCTGACTGGCTTGCAAAGTTGAACATATCTGCTATCCATATCTGACGTTGTACAGAAAAAGCGTGCAGAAACCTAGTTTCCGTCAGCAAATCCTGTCACAGACATGAATAAATTCTGGTCAAGGGAGCACCTCCCACTGATCAGAGGGACAGCCATCAACCACCACCCATCCATCAATCCATAACCCATCATTCATCTATCACTCACTGTCCACCCATCATCCTTTCATCCATCTATTCATCTAGCATACATTCATTCATCTATCTATCATCTATCCATCCATCATTCATCTGCCCATCCATTACCCATCATCCACCATTCATCCATTCATACATCTATATATCATCCATTCATTCATCCATCAGTAATCTACCCATCCATCATCCACCATCTATCCATGTCATCCACCCATCATCCATTCATCCAGCTATCATACATCATTCATCCATTCATCCAAACATCATCAATTCATTAGACCCTATCTATCCAACATTCACTCTCCATCCATCACCCACCCATCTATCATCCCATCATCCATTCATCCATCACTCATACATTCATCATTATCCATCTATCATATATTCATCTGTCATACATTCATCTATCTGTAATACATCCATCCATCCATCTACCATCCATCCATCCATTATACAATAGCCAGCCATCCATTATCAATCCAACCATTCATCCATCCATTATCCATCTACCCATCCATCCATCTATCCATCTATTACTCATCCATCCGTTCATCATCCACCACACATCCATCCATCTATTCATCCATCTATCCATCATCCACCATCTATCTCTCCATTATCCCACCATTCATTATCCAATATCATCTATCCATTCTTCTACCATCCACTATCTATCTGTCATTTATCATCCATTCACCTTTCCTCTATTCATCCATTATCCATCCATCTATCCATCATCCGCCATCCATCCCTCACCCACTGTTCATCCATCCATTTGTAATCCAACATCTATGCACCATTTATGCATCCATCCATTATCCACCATCCATCCATTCATCCCCATCCATTCAGCAAGCACCCAGGAGGGTCCATTGGGTGCCAGATGGTACTAGGAGTTCAGGGAGAAAAAAAGGCATGATCCGTGACTCCCAAAGCACACAGAACAGCTCCTCCCTAAATGGCTGCAGAGGGGCCCAATTCTAGAGCACCTCCCTGGTGATGCTTTCCTGACCCTGCGATGTGGCTCTGTCAGGTCCATGTCACAGAGCAGGGAGCCAAGAGCTATGGCATTTGTTTGGCTCACTGATGAAACATGAACCATGAGCTCAGGTTGTGGGATACTTGGGCCATAAGGGATCCTGGCGGGCCCATGTTGGCCCACTCCACAGGGAGGATGTAGGTCAGTGAAAGGGAATGAGAAGAGGTTCTTACTGAGGTCACAGGCATTGAGTGAAAGGCCACGTACCAAATTTAGTGCTGGCCAGGCCAGTCGGGGAAACTGAGGCTGGGGGGTGGGGTCACCCCAGATCTGTAGCAGGAACTAGAGGCTGATGGGAGCTGAGCCCACACTAAGATGGGGGTGAGGGGCTTCTGGTGCAGGTGGTCATTTCTCTAACAATTTCTCCCCCCTCACCCCATCCCCACAGCTGCGAGGTGCGCCCAGGACCAGAGTTTCTAACGCGTTCTTACACCTTCTACCCCAACCGCCTCTTCAGAGCCTACCAGTTCTACTATGGGGACCCCTCCTGCCAGGAGCCTGCGCACTCGCTGCTCATCAAGGGCAAGGTGCGGTTGCGCCGGGCCTCCTGGGTCACACGGGGCGCCACCGAGGCCGACTACCACCTGAACAAGGTGGGCATCGTCTTCCACAGCCTCCACGCGCTGCTCACCGTTGCCGGGCGCCTGGGCCAGAGCCCGGCCTGTCGGGACTGCGCCCAGCGGCTGCCCCCGGCGCGGGCCTGGCTGCCTGGGGCAGTGTATGAGCTGCTTGGCGCCCCGGCCAAGCAGGACTGCGCGGCTGTGCTGGGCTTCACCATGCATGAGCTCAGCCTGGTCCGCGTGCAACGCCACCTCCAGCCTCAGCTCCGCGCCCCGCCACTCCTGGTGAAGGAGTTGTACCTGGGGGACATCCACACGGACCCCGCCGAGAGACGGCACTACCGGCCCACCGGCTACCAGCGCCCACTTCAGAGCGCCCTGGTGAGTCTGTGGCCCTGGAGGACACGCTCGGAGCCCCTAGGCCCAGCAGGCCGGCCTGCAGACCACTCACCCTTTGCTGTTATCATGGCCCCTCCCACCCTGGCCTGCCTGCCTGCCACTGGACCTTTGCATATGCTAGATCAAGATCTCCTGGGTCTTCACCGAAAACCAAAACTAAACCACTACCGTGGAGTCCATCAGGCAGAGTAGAAGTGTGCCATACGGTTTGAGGCAGTAAATACTTACGGGAACCGATTGCCTCATCTTTGTCCCTTGGAGCCACTGTTAGCTGTGAACTGCCCACCCTATGAACCGCCAGCAGCCTGATATTTAACCCACTGCACCCCCAGGGTCTTGGCAGGGCTGACTTTTTCCAGAAGGAAACTGTCCACCCTTCGCCAGCCCACACCCTCCCTACGGGACCTGCAGGGTCCCACTGTTACTCTCACTGGGCATGTGAACTTGGGCCCTTACTGACCCCCCAGCCCCAGCCTCTACACTCCACTTTGTGTTCCTTCACTTGTGTTTGCCTTCTGCTCTCTCAAGCTACACCATTATAGGGCAGGACTGACACCTTGCCTGGGCTCAAAGCCAGTAAACGTTGCTGAATGAATTCAGCAGGTGACGGCTTTCCTCCAGGCTTTCCTGCTGGTGGACTGTCCCGTGTGGCCTCAGTGGGGTCCGTATGCTGCATTGCTACCTGAGTCAGGGGCCTCCAAGTACGCCCCTCTGTAACGGAAACACACCTGGGCATCACGGTTCGAGGGCTGGGTCGGATTTGGCAGTTCTAAGGACTCTGGTGTCTGACCAAGCTCCCAGGTGGACTGCCCTGTTTTTTAAGGTGCCCCCCCAAAATGAGTTTCACTCAAGTCAGCTGATATTTTCAATGACACCATCACACACTCACTGCCCTAACTAGGCACAGACTACTCTTTGTGTGTGTGTATGTGTGTGCTTAGCTGTATTTCTGGGAGTGTGGAGAATCAAAACCTTCCTGTGTCAGGGAATCCCTGGGGGAGCGAGGGAGAGCCTGCAGACTCTCCTCAGAATGGTGTTTGATTCTACCAATTACAGTCTACCCTCATTATTTGTGGATCCCATATTTGCAGATTCTCCTGCTTAAATGTATTTATCTATAATCCAAAAATCAACATGTAGGAAACTTTTGCAGTCTTACGTAGGCATATGCTGAATAGTGAAAATGTTCAGTTGCACAGCAAACACGTTCTGTGTTAACATCAAACAAGGGGACGTTCCAACTTCTCTTTTCAGCTCTCATCCTACAAACAAGAATCCTTTCCACTGTCTACCTAACTAGATCCCCATTTTTCACATTTTTGTTGGTGGTTTTAAAGCTTAAATGGCCGTAAGTGTAGTACTGACATGCTAGGTCGTGTTCCTAAGCTGAAATGCATCTTATGGAGAAAATACATGTGTTAGACAAGTTTCATTGACATGACAAATAATGCTGTCAGCCATGTGTTCAATGTTAATGAATCAGCAATATTAAATTAAATTTTAATGTAATTTAAAACAGTATTAAGTTAAGGGGTCTTTAAACAGAAACACAGAAAACGAGATTATGTAGTAATCAGTAGACGAAAATGTTGTGACCAGAGGCTCAGGTTTCCCCACGAAGCGATGGCTCAGTGTTCGCTAATTCAGGGTTCGTGGAAGCTTTTTAGAACACAAATGCCACAGATAATGATAATCAACTATATATTGAAATAAATACCCAAATCCTAAAAGGTAAATTTGAGATCTAGGAATACACTCATGTGTTCTTCTCGTTCACCTTCACTGCCAGTAATGATGAGTTTAGACAGCGTTTTCTTAACGTGATCTGAGAAAGCTGGCTTCCATTGGCAGTAAAATCAAGAGGTTCTACTGATGCTTCTAGCAGTGACTGTCTGCATTTACAGAGAGGCAGTGTTGACTTGTATTAGTTAGAGGGGAGCTGAAATGAGAAATCCTGGTGTGGCGCCTTAGAATAAACCCTCGACCTCAAAGTCGGATTGAACCGCATGGTCGGTGGTTCAAACTCACTAGCCACTCTTTGGAAACCCTACACAGAGTCACTATGAGTTGGAACCGACTCAATGTCACTTAACAACAAGTTGAAACGAAGCCCAGGATAAGACTCCAGGTTAAAAACCTCGTACTTTGCACCCAATAAGTATTTATCAAAAGAACAATAGGCTAGATGGATATAGATAGTTAGATGGATGGACAGAGGGACAGATGGATGGATGGGTGGATGAGAGAGTGAGAGAAAGAGGGAGGGAGAGAGGGAGGGCCAGACAAATAAACAGATAGGTGGATGAATGTGTGGATGGTTGGATGGACAATGAATGCATGGATGGATGGATAGTTGGACAATGGATGGATGGTTGGATGGACAATGGATGGATGGACGGATGGATGGTTGGATGGACAATGTATGGATGGATAGTTGGATGGACAAACAATGCCTGGATCGATGGTTGGTTGGATCGATGCATTGATGGTAAAGGAATAGGTTTGGGCTTCTCTGTCCAAGTGTTTTTGAGCCCTAAGACAGCCCTCACATCACTCAGCATCTATTGAGTGTCTACTGGTGTAGCACCATAGGACCAGCACTGGACTGTGAACCATAAGATCGGCAGTTCAAACCCACCAGCTGCACCTTAAAAACCCTATACAGAGTCACTGTGAGTCAGAACCTACTCGACGGCAGTTAACAACCACAACAATTGTATACTAGCTATGCACGAAGTAAGCCAGATGTAAGAACTTCTCATCAATAGGGCACAGGCACTTGTCAAAGCATCCCAAGGGGGGGGGCAGTGATGGGGATGAGACCCCACACGCTCCAGCCTTCTCTTCCCCTCTGTCTTACCCCTCTCCTTCCTTCAGGTAAACCCAGCATCTGGGTCTCAGAGAAGAAGCATAACAAAAGGTCCTCATAACCAGAAATTCAATCCCAGAGTGCCTGTAGCTTTTAATGACTTCGGAATGAGTTCCTTTCTAACAAACAATGTTCTTGGTGCCTGTCCTTCCCTGGCATGATCTTGCTTAGAAAGAGAAGGTGCTGGCGTGGGTAGTGAGGCCATCTAGCCCTCCCACAGCATTAGAAGAGGGTCTGTGGGGTGACCAGCTTCATGTCTCCCAAGGCACGGCTTGGGGGCCACTGTGGTCAGCCTGGATGGCCATGCAGCCTGAATTGTAACCGAGAAGCAAAACACACAGGGGTATATGCAGACACGTACACTGCCAGATGTGTGGCCATTAAATTAAACGTCTGCTTACCAATGCTCCCACTCCTGGAGAAAAAAGGAGGGGACGATCACTTCAACGAAGGAAAGGCTAAAGACAAATCCCAAGTAACGAATTAGTCATGGCCTTCTGCTTTCTGCTCTCAAGTGCCCAAGTTGTGCCCACGGCCCAAACCAGATGGTAAACATGAACATTTTTAGAAGTTAATTTAAAACCAATTTGATCCCCAAATTCACTGCCTGGCTGGAGAATCCTAATCAATCAGCCGACACTTGACCAAAATCATCTGAGCCTGGAATCACCTCGGGGGTTAATTAGAGAGTGTTATGTGCTGTTTGAGAAATAACTTTATGTAACAGGCTTAAACCATGAAATCTGGCTTCCACACAAGTGTGACTTCTGCTAGCAGGGACCTTAGTAGCACGCCCAGCTCCAGGCCTCTGCAGGAAGGTTTCAGATGAAGACAGTTGGCTTCTTATACCACCTTCAAAAGCACCAGAGAGCAGAAAATGTCTTTTCTCCATTCTTTCCTCTCAAAAGCTTGTGGGTTTTCAATTTGTGCCCCCTCTGGAGAAACCCTACTGTTGTAAAGTACTGTCTAGTCGATTCTGACTCCTATCAACTTGTGACAGAATAGAATCGCTCCATACCACGTGTGGCACTTTAGAGTAAGCATTGGACTGCTGCCAATTGCATTGTCGGTGATTCAAACCCACCAGCTGTTCCTCAGAAACTCTATACAAGGTTGCTATGAGTCAGAACCAACTCCAGAATACTTGACAACCATCTTTACGGAAGGAGTTCTGGTCGCACTGTGGGTTAATGTGCTGCTAACCAAAAGGTTTGTGGTTCAAACCCATCAGCCCCTCTGCAGGAGAAAGATGAGGCAGTCTGCCTCCAGAAAGAGGCACAGTTTTATGTTGTCCTGTGGGGTCTCTGAGTTGGAATCAACTCAACGGCCATGTGCTTTTAGTCTTTATGGGAGATAACTCTTGGGTAGGTTCAATTGGCCAACCTTTTGGTCAGCAGCCAAGCAGTTAACCAAAAGAACCCACAACCACTGAGTGCATTCTGATTCATAGTCAGACCTACATAGAGTTTTCAACACTTTACAGGGCCAGACCTCTTGACTGGTGGGTTTGAACTGCTTAACTTGTGTTAGTAGCCCAACGCTTAGTCCACTGGGCCACCAGGGCTCCTAATTACTGGCTATTGTTGTTGTTAATGCCCTCACGTCCATTCCGACTCACACAACCGTGATAGAGTTTCTGAAGCTTTAAGTCTTCGCAGAAGCAGAAAGCCTCATCTTTCTCCCTCAGAGCTGCTGGTGGGCTTGAACCACAGACCTTGTGGTTCACAGTCTAGTGCTTATCATGTGGAGCCACCATATTCCCAATTACTGACGACTGTTGTTAAGTACTGCCAAGTCAGTTCCGATTCATAGCGACCCTGTATAGTGTTTCCGAGCAGCGCTGGTGAGTTTGAACTGCCAACCTTATGGTTCAAACCTTGTGGTCCAGTGCTGATCCTACAGTGCCACACCAGGACTCCAATTACCGGCTAGTATCTCCAAAACATTCTATCTGCTGAGGATAGCTCTTTTTTCTTTCCCCAGAAAGGGTGACCGTGGGGTTATTTGGATGTAATGCATTATGTCTTGTCAATATGCATTAGTGTGACGACAGTCAGAATGTGGCTTTAAAACACCCAAATTAGGGCAGACTCTTGTCAGCCCGCGTTCCAATTAGCTGCACTGTGGCCCAGGCAATGTGCGGACAATTTGCTACCCTCTGGGTCAAAATCCCCCAAACTATACAGTTTCCTCTGTTAGGGATGTCAAAGACAGGTTAGGTGCATGATGTTGTTATTAAGTGCCACGGAGTCTGTTCTGACACATAGAGAGCAGTGTAGGGTTTCTGAGGCTGTAAATCTTTATGGGAGCAGAAAGCCTCATGTTTCTCCCGAGAATTGGCTGGTGGACTTGAACCACAGACCTGGTGGTTATCAGCCCAGTGCTTATCCTACAGAGCCACCGTGCTCCCTAAGTATGTAATAACTTGTTATTAAGTGCCTGTTGAGTTGGTTCCTACTCATAGGAAACCCTGCATAGGGTTTCTGAGGAACAGCTGGTGGGTTTGAACTGCTGACCTTGTAGGTCGAAGTCCAATGCCAATCCTACAGCACCACACCAGGAGTCTTGGTATCTTGATTTAGGTAAACTTTTCAAACATCAGGAGTGACTTTCCATTTCATTGGATACTCTAACCAGTTCTGGTACAAAACAGATAACAGTCTTAGAAGATTAGATCAGCTCACAGAGAGCCAGGAGCACAGCATACAGTCTAATAGTGGATGGAATGGCTACGTAGCCATTTAAGCCAGGCCCAAAAGTGTGCGAGCCTCACCTCTGGAAGAGAATTTTACCTGAGCCGCTGGAAGAAGGCTCTGGCACGATAGCCAATGTCCTTCGTATCAAGAAATCATCTGAGTTTTGTAATGTGGCAATCCAAAAAAAATTTTTTTTAATTTCTTTTTTTTCCTCAATCCCAAAATATTTTCTTTCAAATAACACTTGTTTGGCATGAAACACACCCAGAAGCAAGCTGTGGAGATTTTGTGTGTTTTGCAAGAAAGAAAAGGCTGGAGTGGATTTCCCCACTGGGTCCCCAAAATGGCCCCTTCCCATCGTCCATCCTGCGTGGGCGCCTGGAATAGCGAGAGGACAGGCAGTGTACAGGCTGTGGCTCTAGACTAAACTCTGGTCAGCTCCCTTTAAAACATAAAGAAAGGAAGATCAAGAAAATGCCTCCTTTTTGGCCTCTCCCAAGCTTTTCCCTCCAAATGCAAATTGACTGCTCCCAGGGAATGTAGGGTAAGCATCAGTTTCCTCACTACTAATGGACTGTAAATCCAGATCATGAGAATTTGTAAGGCAGGGATCACTGTAAACACAGTCAAAGACAGGAAAACCAGTTCACAGCCTGGAAGGCTGGGACTGTGCCTTAAATCTCCACTGGGGCTGGTTTTCCCACTTGTAAATAACACTGGAACAGACATCTTCATTTCATTTGGATCATTAACACAGGCTCTAAGCAATGGGTGAATATTTTCATGGCTTTTGGTCTTTGTTTCCATGCTCACTTTCCAAAGGGTGAAGAGGATGGTGCTCACCCTTCAACATGAGATTTCTGAAGATCAAAACTCTCCATTCTCTCCCGTTTGCTCTGGAACCAGAAGAACTAGATGGTGCCCGGCTGCCACTACTGAATGTTTTGATCAAGAGTTTATAGAACTAATGTTCTCCTATGTAAACTATCACATAATTCACAATAAAACAAAGTTTGTAGAAGAACATGGAGAAAGAGAGAGCAGCTGAGGACTCCAGACTCATGGAAAGAGAAAGGCTGTTTGCTGGCAGCCAGGAGGCAGGCTTGCAGAATGTGCCCTTTGGTTGTTTAAATGGTTATATATTCCTGAGTGTTTTTGTGTACATACCCCCCCTCAAAAAGGGGTGGGGAGAGGGAATGGAAGCAAATACTGTTGAATGATGATGCCTGGAGGAGATTGTAATCATTGCAATGAAATGATGAGTGTAAAATTGATGTTCCACTATGTAAACTATCACTCAGTTCACAGTAAAAACTTTAAAAAAAAAAAAAAAAGTTTATAGAAAAACATGGAGAGGGAGAGCAGCTGAGGACTCTAGACTCATGGACAGTGAAATGTTGTGTGCTGGTGGCCAGGAGGCAGGCTTGCAGAATGTGTCCTTCAGTTGTTTAAATGATTATATATCCCTGTGTGTTTTTGTGTACATCCAAAAAAACAGAGGGAATAGAAACAAATACTGTTGAATGATGACTTACGGAGGAAACTGTAATCATTGTAATGAAACAATGAATATAAAACCAATGTTCTCCCATGTAAACTATCATTCAATTCACAATAATAATAATTTTTAAAAAAAGGTTCCATGTGTGGTAGAGCCAAGTTTTCAGCCATTATACTTTTTGGATTAAAAGTATCAATTCTATCACCGTAACTATTACAGTCCCTTATTGTCTTCCACCTGACAAGCTCACTTCATTCATTTTAGATAAAATATTGCTAAATACCCAAGTTCGAGTAACTCTTATTTGTGCATCAACTGATCTCTCGAGTACGCAAGGACTTTTCTACAAGCCAATTTTTATATTTTTATATGCAGCAAAAGTGCTTTATACACATTTCCTAGTTAAATACAATTTTTTAAAGATGTGTACTCAATGATTGAGAAGTAATAAAGTTGATAACTTTAAAAAAAAAAAAAAGTCTGTAGAAGGATCTGGGTTAAATTCTCATGGAATCCAGATTTCTGGAGCCAAGGAGACTGGATGAGCCCCTGAAGCTGTTGTCCTGAGGTCACATCTGAAATTTAAACTGAAACTATCCCCCACATTTGCAACCCAACACATAACCCACTACACTACCAGTGTGCTCCCCTGAAGTCTTCTTAAAAGAAGCTAGTGGTTTTAGCTTCACTAATAAGGTCTATCTGCCTTTAGCATTTTATTCTTATAACAACGATGTATATGGGACCAAACGGACAACAGAAAATCTAAAGTCTAGACAGACACCTTAGTGGCAGTGAGTTTATGTCAACTGAGGAGGAATCATTTGGGAAAAGAGGGGCAATGTTTGAGCAACTGAAAACTGTAATCATTGTCACTGAATTGTATTATGTAGAGACTATTGAATTGTTATATGTTTTTGCTCCAGTGTATTTCTCATCAACAACAAATCAAATTACTAAAATAAAAAAGAATAGGCCGCAGGGCTGCTTTATTTGGGGTGGTCAGGAAAAGGATTTCTATGGTCTCTCATTGAGCTGAGACTAAAAGAATGAGAAGGAGCCAGCCATGCACTGTTCTAGTGGGAGAGCATGTCAGGTAGAGGAGATCATATGTGCAAAGTCCTAGAGGAGGGCAGGAGCAAAGAGGCCCACAGACTGGAGGGAGGGAAAAGGGGGAACAGTGGCTGCTGATGACATACGGCAGGCTTCAAGGGACCTTGTTCTCAGGTACAGAGCTGGGATTCTGCACATGGAAAACCACCTCCTTTCTGTTTGTCTTTTGACAGCACCACACTCGTCCCTGCCTGGCCTGTGGACTTGTGTCCCGTGCGGATGAGCACCACCCACCCATTCTGCCCCCTCAGATAGTCCCAGCCCTGCGTCTGCAAGGCCGCTGGGTCAGCGCAAGCTGTGAGGTGCGGCCAGCTGTGCTTTTCCTCACCAGACTCTTCACCTTCCATGGGCACAACCGCTCCTGGGAGGGGCATTACCACCACTTTTCGGACCCCACCTGCCAGCAGCCCACCTTCACTGTGCATGCCTCTGGCCATTACACCAAGGGCACACCCTCCACCAAGGTCCTAGGCAGCACTGAGCTTGTGTTCCAGGTCACTCAGGCCCACGTGACCCCCATGGACCCGGTCACCACGGCCATGCTGAATTTCTCCAAGCCAGGCAGCTGTGGGGATCCGGGAGCCTGGTCCCTGGGAACTGAGAGGGACATCACAGTCACCAATGGGTGCCTGCCCCTAGGCATCAGACTCCCCCATGTGGAGTATGAGCTTTTCAAGATGGAGCAAGACCCCCAAGGCCAACGCCTGCTCTTCATTGGACAACGGCCTACCGACGGGTCAAGTCCCGACACCCCTGAGAAGCGTCCCACATCTTTCCAAGCCCCGCTGGTCCTGTGTGAGGAGATGGCCCGGGACATTCCCAGGCCCCTACAACACAGTCCTCTGCTGGGAAAACCTCATGGAAGCAGGTGTCTTTGCCCTTGTGTAACTCTGCCCCACCTTCTGCTTCTGGTCCTAGGCTTGGCCTTCCTCGGGTGGCTTTGAAATTGGTCTTCAATGTCAAGAGTGGCTTCTCGGGACACCCAAATGGCCCTCGGCAACTAAGGGCTATGACTACACATCAAAATGCAAGTGTGGCTGGTTTTTCCTATTATAAAGAACACCAGAATGAGTATATTTGTGGTACAGCTCTCTATAACTTTTCAGTACCTAGGACTCCCTCCTAGACACGAACTCTCCCACTCTCTGTGTGAAGAATCCATCCTTTTCTTTCCAATCTGCCGTGGAAGGGTACACAGCCATGCTGCTTGTAAAATCAGCCTTTGAGTTCAACAGCCTCTAGAAAGTCTGTCCCAGGGTGCTCTCCAGTTTCCTAAAGGGTCATGCCCAGCGTGTGTGGGTTCCTCATCCGGGGCAGGCTAGTGATCCTTTGCTGGCCAACAGATTCCATCATTTCCCTGCCCCACTTCTTGCCCCGTGCTCCTGGGGTTTTATGACATGGGAGCACATCATGATGTTCTGCCATGTCTATGGGTTGCTTCAAAATTATTAACTGAATTTAGCAACGCAAATGCAGGCTGGGGCCATGAATTAAAGATGATGCTTCGAGCTTTTCATCCTTTGAGGCGTTCCGGCAGAGGGCCCCTTCTCTTCAAGGCCACTCAGCTTTCTTGGTCTGACTAGTGGCATTTGTCTGCAGCTCAGACCCCCACCTGTCACGGTGTGAGCTGAGCATCCAGAGGGGGCTCCCTGGGCGCTGGGCCTCATGTCCACACTGCGTTCCCACGTGCAAGGCTGGCTGCTAGGCGAGTCTTTGGAGGAAGGCAGTGCTACCAGCCTTCAGAAAGTAATTAATACTAATGACTGCGGAGACGCTAACATGCTCTGCAATTAGTCTGCACAGACGTCCTCTGCTCTCAAGATTCCCTGTGCTCCCCGGGCGGGGACACGGGGGGGTGGGGGGAGAGTGGGAGGGCGGGGAATACCTCCGAGGACTCTCGGGGAGCCATCCTGTGCTTCACCCAGCCCTTCACCATAATGCGGATGGGGAGAGGTCTCTTCAGGGCCCAGGTCTGTGTCCCAGAATCTTGCCAGCACCTACAGGACTTACTTGAGAAGGAGCCCTGGTGACGCACTGGGTTAGGTGTTGGGCTGCCAACCCAAAGATCAGCAGTTCAAACCCACCATCTGCAGGATGACGAGAAAGATGAGGCCGTCTGGTTCTGTAACGATTTACAGCCTCGGAAGCCCTATGCAGCAGTTCTACTCGACCTCACAGAGACCCTCTCAGTCAGGGGATTCCATGAATCCCCCATCCCCACCCCCATCCCATCCCCATCTCGGGCTGATTTTACAGATCTTCAACAATGGTCTCCAAGGTTAAGGGCATTTTTTGAGAAAAGTCCTCACCCTCTGTGCCATTGTGTGGGGTTCAGTCAGTCTGCTGAGATGGCCCTAAATTATCTATCCATTCTTGTTAGGAAAAAAACAAAACCAAACAAAAAAAAAAGACACAGACCACCACGTCAACATTCTCTCAGATCTCAGAAAGCTACCACTGTCCCTGGCATCTTTGTCACAAGAAATCGATGGATTATTTAAGGCTTTGCAGTGAATCGGGGTAAGTGTTGCGAACATGGCCACAATTGAGCAAATCTAGTATTGAGGCTCGAGAAACACACCGTTTATCATCAAATTGGAATCTTTTAATAAAATTAAACAGCCTGAGAAGTGTTCCTGCGGGTTATTAACATCAGTGGAAGGGATGATTGTTCTAATGCAGTAGAGTGTCATTAGGAGATTGTAGGAAAGAAGATAAAACCACCCCCATTCCACCCCCACGATGCCACGTACCTTCATGCCACTGCCCGGACCTACTAAAACCCTATTGTGCTCAGATAAAGTCCCCTCTCCTCACAAACCAGTCACTATCTGCTTCTCCAGTCCAACCACTGGCCCCTAAATGCACTGGCCTTCTTTCTGATTCTTGATAGTGCCAAACTCATTCTTGCCTCAGTGCCTTTGTGCCTACTGGGCCCTCTGCCTAACCTTCTTCAGTCTTCAGAAACTTGGCTCTTTCTTTTCATTCACGTCTCGGGTCAAATGTCACCTCCTTGATCCAAAAGAGCAGACCCCGTGCCCTCCTGTCCCTGTCTGTCCCATCAACCTGTCTCCTGCTTCTTGATCGCCTCCGAGGAGCCCTGGTGGCAGCAGTTACGCATGTGGCTGCTAACTGAAAGGTCTGCGGTTTGAAGCCACCAGCTGCTCTGTAGGAGAAAGATGAGGCAGCCTACTTCAGTAAAGGTTCCAGCCTTGGAGACCCACTGGAGTAATTCTGCTCTGCCCTGCAGGGTCACTGTAACTTGGAATCAAGTCATGACAATGAGTCTGTTGTGGTGATTTTGGGGTCGAGATAAGGGGTCCTGGTGGCACGGCAGTTAAGCACTCAGCTGCTAACCAAAAGGTCAGTGGTTCAAACTCAGCAGCCCTTTGAAGTCTATTCCAGTAAAGATTTACAGCCTTGAGAACCCTATGGGGCAGTTTACCTGGGCCCTACAGGGTCACCGTGAGTCAGAATGAACTTGAGCGCTGCAGGGTTGGTTTGGGTATGCTCCCCTCTAACATAAGCACCAGAGTCCTGGTGTGGCACTGTGTGGTAATGCGCTGGGCTGCAAAGTTGGTTTGAACCGCAAGGTCAGTGGTTCATGCTCACCAGTCACTCCTCGGAAACCCTGTACAGGGTCACTATGGGTCAGAACTGACTTGCCAACACTTAGCGACACCCCAGCCACCCAAAGAAACTCCAGGATCTATTCACTATAAAAATCTCAATAAATAAGACTCCTTGTGACCAGGCGGGAGGCCACGAGTCCACTTGTTTTCACACTAAGCTCACTTACCACATGCCCACCAGGCACCAAGCCCAGTATGCCACACTGAGGACATCCATCAAAGACACTGCCCTCAAAAACCAGGGACTTAGTCATGGCCACACGGTCGGGAAGGAATTGGGTACAGGGCCCAGCCTCCAGGTGGCCTCTGCCACATGCCACAGGCACCCTGGCAGGCTGGGATTTCTTAACTGTGTTTGGGGAGCATGGTTCAGTATTTCTCTGTGTGCATGAAACTGTCTCTAACCAGGGAGGCAAGAAGGTTCTAGGCTCCCAGCTGCTCGGTCCATCCTCCCCTTGATTGGACTTAGTGTAAGACAGCTGGGGAAAGCCTGCTCCCCGTGCTTTGGGCTGAAATGAGGGGGTCAGTCTGATGCTCTCCCATGGACAGCCCTGTGTCAACCGACCCCTTTTTAGTCTCCCCACAAAACCTGAGGTTGCTCTTGTCAAAAGAGGGAAGAGTGAAGCCCACAGCTCCCCACTTAAAATCAATGTTCTCCATTGTATGTTCAGTCACGTTTAAAAGACACACAAACACACACACGTGTGCCATGGATAATTGCATAGCACTAGCTCCCGGGGGAGGGGGGGGCGAAATGAGCTGTGTTTTGGGGGTGGGGGGTACGTGTGTGTGTTTTAATAAAAAGTTCAAATTGTATACAACTCTCAGAGGCCCATTAACTAACAGATGCTGGTTATCTAAAGAAATTATTTCTTGGTTTTTTTGTTGTTGGTTTTTTCCCCTGAGTGAATGTGTTTCATCTGCCCGTGGTACTGCATAGCTGAGAAACTGCGTCTTGATTGGCGACAGTGACGTGCGTTCGGCAGACCCTGGCCGGCCTGCTGTCCCTCTCCTGGGAGCTGGTGACTCAGAGCTCTCTGACGCAGACTGTGGAATCTCATTAGATCTGTGTCATCCGTCGGAGCCGGTGGGGGGGCAAGGGGGCTGAACTTGGGTGGTGGGCGTGCATGGTGGCCTCAAGTGACAGAACCAGCTCCTCTCACAGACGTCACCCGTTAAGTGGATGTGAAGACGTGTAAATTACCAGTGCTCCTGAAATAGAACCTTGTACCAGCCAGACAGACCCTCCAATGGTCTCTCCGCAGCAGCCAAGCTCCCTGGTGCCAGCTAGCCTGCCTCCCTTCTAGCCTTAAGTAACACCCAACTTGGTCCCTCCGGGCTCATCCCTCTACCTGGAATGTTCCTCCTCCCGTGTGCCCCATTACCAAGTCTCAGCTCTAAATCACCGTCCTAATGTCCCCAGCCACCCAAAGAAATGCACCCTCACCCCAAGCTGCCGGTATCATCTTAGAACCCTTGTTACTTTCACCATAGCAGCTGTTGCTAAGTGTTGTCAAGTTGGTTCCAACTCAGAGACCCTGTATAAGGTTTCCAAAGAGCAGCTGGTGTGTTTGAACCACTGACCTTATGATTAGCAGTCCAGTGTTTATCCTACAGTGCCACGTATCAAAACCTTGCAGTTAGTGGTATCTAAAAACATGCTTTGGAGTTGCTTTCTGACTGGCTGTCCATCTCCTTCAGAGGATGAGCTCCTTGGTGGCAGGACTCATCTGTCTGTCTGTCCCCCACTCCCCCACCCCCTACCACGTGTGGAACTGCAGCATCCAGCATACAATGTTGTTGTGAAGTGCCTTTGAGTCGGTTCCAACTCATAGCAACCCAGTATAGGATTTTCAAGGTTGTACATCCTCGCAAGAGCAGAAAGCCCATCTTCCTCTCATGGAGAGGTTGGTGGGCTTGAACCGCCAACCTTGTGATTCATAGTCCAGGCATCCAACAGGAGCTTGATAATTGTTGGCTCAATGAATAAACCTCTGAGTCCTAGGGAAAAGGCTCTGAATTCAAGCACTGAAATGACAATTACTAAATCCAAATACAAGGATGTCAGAAAGTTTGTGGGGAAATTCCATTATCTTTTAATATGATTTTTTTCATGAATTTTTTGAAGCCTCCTTATACTAACTTGGAGTTTGCTGCTTTATATCTTCTTTAATAAAATGGGCAGAAGAGAACCCAGAGCTGGGAACCTGAGGATGCCTATCAGAATATGGCCCACAGAGTGCCCCGAGAACCACTCTCAAAGACTCCAGAACCCGATGGATGGTCAACCTCACCAGGTACAAGGCCGTTATTCCTCCTTAGCTGTGGAGCCCACCCACTTCAGTTCCTTCACTAGTGAAATGAGCTTCTTGTTAGTGTTACTGTTAAGTGCCTTGGAGTTGTTTCCGACTCATAGTGACCCTGTGTAGGGTTTCTGAGGATTGACTGGTGAATTTGAACCACCAATCTTGTGGTCCAAACCGACCTTGCAGTCCAGTGCATTAATCCGCAGCACCACACCAGGACTTAAACCTAACCTGATGAGTTCTGCAGCTGCCCAGTCCCAACACTTGGAAAGACCAAAGCTTGTAAGTGGTCCAAAAGGAATCAGAGACTCTCTAAGAAGAATGGTTTGAAGCAAATGAACTCTCAGCAAGGCTGAGTCTTCTTCCCAGGATGTAATATTTATTTCTGAACGGTTATCAGTAACCTACTACTCCCGCTCCTACATTCTGAGGAATGAAAAAGCACTTATAAATGTCGGGTGTCATTACCTCCATTAAGTCGTTATCTCCTGTGTCCATTTAATGAGAACAAAGTGACATCAAGAACATCATACATGAAGAGAGCACAAGGCCATTAAAAAGGAAAGAAAAGACCAAAAGGGATGTCAGAAGAGACTCTGAAACGTGCTCCTGAATGTAGAGAAGCTAAAGCAACTGAAAGAAATGAGGAACTAAAACAGCTGAACAGAAAATCTCAAAGGGTAGCTCGAGAAGACAAAATAGTATAACAAAATGTGCAGAGATGTGGAGTTAGAACATAAAGAGGAAGAACATGCTTAGCATTTGCC